AGCCTGGACAGTTACATGGTACCAGGTGATCTCATCCAAGCTACACTGGGTGCATCTTGAGGTTCTGGGATGCTGTTTATCCTGCCAGATGACAAATTCTTCACTTTTCTCTCCAACAGTGGTACTGTAAATTGTCCTGGTGGAGGAAGTTAAAACCTTGATTTAGTAGGGATGGACTGGGGTATCTACAGGGGATATAACAGGGGTATTTACAGGGCATGTGTTAGGGATGGACTGGGGTATCTACATCCTGGCCATTCAAATGAATAACATATTTGCCTTGGATGGGACCTATGAAGGGATGTCTTAGCAAGAATAGAACTCCCACTGGGGCTCCAGTTCAGGTATCTTGATATGAGAAAGAAGCTAAGTGGGTTGGGTCAGGTTAGTGCTTGGATGGGAGACCACTAGGAAATAGCAGGGCTTTATGTAAAACTGGGAAGTAAAGCAAGCTCTCCAAAACAAAGCAATGGCAAACCAGTTCTGTATACTTGCCAAAGGAACAAAAGGAAACCTACAATCAAGCTCAGCTCAAAGGAGACTTTATGATTTTGCAGGCGGCGAAATGCCTTTGGCCAACTGTTCTGGCTTGCTTCATCTGCTGTGGTCTTGGACGGACTTTGGTCTATAACCTTGGAGGCCTGTAAAAACTGCAACCCTGGAGAAGCAGCCCCCACCCATGACAGGAAACAGCCACTTTCTCAGCCAGCAGATGAAAAGCCCTGTTTGTTTATGGAGCCATCAGCCATTTGTCCGGTTTGGGGAGGCGGGGAGGAGAGAAGATAGAGCAGGAGGCTCATTTCACTTTCAGATTATTTGCATGGATTCTGACTCTCCCTTTGGCCCTGCATCCTGGAAACTCTAGGGTGGGAGCAAGGGAGGGAGAGAGGTGGAACCAGGGGAAGCTCAAGGGTCCGGCTATCCTTTTGTTTCCTTTGGTGGGGTGGCTTTTCTCCCTTGTCCCAACTTCCTTCCCCACCCCCACTGCCCCCCCTCGCAATCTTGGCTGCCTGGCACACCGTCTTCAGCCCAAAAGGGCGTTTAGCGTTTCTCCCTGTTCCTGCCGCCCCCGCCTGATATTGGAAGCACATGTTTTTCTCAGCGTCTGGGTTTCATTACTGGTGGAGACAGGCTTCTTTGCAGGTCTGAGGCTGCGCCCTTGCATCTCGGGCCCAGGGAGCAAAGCAAGAGGACCAAGGATGAATAAGCGTCCTCTCTCTGCTGGTTGCCATTTGGAAGAGCTTCTGTCACCGTTGCTCTGGCAAGACCCTCTTTCTTTAGCTCCAGAGGTTCTTCCCTCCAGTGGTTTGCAATGAAAGCTGTTTCAGCCACCACCAGGGTCAGCTGGCTCCCTGCTCTCTCCAAACAGCAACCCGCTGGGCTCCTCAGCTTCTACACGTGGCAGCGACACACGCACGTAGCACGCACGCCCACCGCGGCAACCCAGCTGGCAGCCTCGAGGCTCTGAGGTTGAGCCTGTTAACTCAGCATTTGGTTTCCTTGGCTGGATGGAGCTGTTGAGAGCTGATTGGCCACACAAAGGGAGGAGGGAGGATTTGGGAACTGGAACATTATCCCCATTGTCCTTTGGATCGGAGCTAAGCTGGGGTGGGCGGAAAGAAGTTTTGAATGCTTGGGTTCTTGGGACAATTGGGTATTTTTCTTTTCCCACCCTACAATGCACATCTTTAAATGATTCCAGCAATGTGTTCAACCCACATCCTTGGCCCACAGAAAGTGGCAAATTCTAATCTCTGCTGAGCTCCGAGTGAGCATTGTAACCATCCACCTGCACTGGGATTGGAGGAAAGGCTCAGCAGTTGTTCCCAGGTGTGTGTCTCCTATATGCTTCCACCCACGGAATCAGCTAGTAGGGTATGTGCCTCTTGTGTAAATATTACAGTACTCTTGTTTCCTAGCGAGAGATCTTGACCAGGAAGGATTCTGAACTGGAGGGACGGGTGTGCAATCCAGGAGTCAAAGAACATCAGAAACTCAGTTGGGATATGTCACTATCAATTATGATATGATACAATATAATAAAGTCTCTCTGGAGTCACGCTCAGCTCCTGATAACTATGTAGATATGCCCGTATTGTTTTCTTGGCAACAGTATGGAAGTGGTTTGCCACAAGCACTTTGGGGGATTTTTTTTTTGATTTGCCAGTCTAATCGACAGTCCCAGTCTTTCCCGGTGGTCTCCCATTCATGTATTAACTAAGCAGGTCTGCCCCTGTTTCGTTCAGATCAGCCAAAGTTGACTGAGTGCTGGTGCCTGCTGTTTGGTGATGCCTCGATGCTTGCTAGACAGGGCTTAAGTCTTGAAAGAATGCATGAGGATATTTTGAAGCATATCACAGGGCGTAGGCAAATTGTATTCTTTCTCATTTGCAAGGGATCCAGGGCTCATAGCTGGGCCTTATGCCTCTACTTTGCATTTTTCGGCAGCTTTCAAGCTGATACTCTCACCGTATCAACAATAAAGGAGGGTACAGATGCATCCTAGTACAGATGCACGCTATACGTAGGCTACAAACATAACATAGAAAATATTCCTCCTGTGGTTAATCAGAATATTTGGGAGAGGTTCTCAGCAGACACAAGAGCTCCAATGATTCAAGCATTTGACTTAAGTGCAGAATCGATGCATGGGGGAGAGGAGGAGTGAGTTCCTCTCCCACCAGTAGGAAACCAATGTCTGTATCACTTTGTTGGTCTTTTCCTGTCATTATTATTTTTACATCACTTTTACTCCTGAGCCTGGTATAGCCTAGTCTTGGCTTTTTCTCAGCCCCAAAGTAGATTGTCTGAATAAGGCTTAGAAGGACTATAAATCAGCTTTCAGTACCTCCCGTTTCTACTAAGTAGAATTTGAGGTTTGACTAGCTTGCTACAACTTGCAGGGTTTGATGCAAACTTCCCTGGAGGAAAGAGGCAGGGCTGGTGAAGACTGTCTTCCCATATGCTTTTGGTTTTTTCCTACTGGGCCTTCATGAAGTTTCCTTCATGAGGGCCCAATCAACTCCCATTACAGTAGGATCCAAATCTATTTTCTCCACTCTCGCTAGGCCACCCAAATATTCCACTTCACGCATGGGAGTTTGTTGAGGTCACTGAAACGCCACTGTCAAGCTTGACAAATAGGGCCATGTCATTCCAACATGGAGCTTGAAACCCTTGTCTCCACATGGGCTTCTCCCACTCCTTTCCCCCACCTCACGCTCTTCTGAAAAGCCATCTGCGATCCTGCCTTCCGAACTCGGGTTTGAAAATGCTTGTGAATGGTTGCGCCCATGTGTGCAGAAACGGATTTGGAGCCCCAGGTCATGACAGAGGTCATTCTAGGCTGGGGAAAGGGGGTGGAGTGGTTGCCTGTCAGATGCAGGCAAGATGAGGTCTTACACGAACAGCTGTTTACTTTCAAGCATAATTCCAAATGCATGTGTAGCTCCCTAATAGAAAGCTGCTGCTTCGTCTCTTGGCTGCTCCTTGCAGGAGACGTTGAGTTCAGCCATAAACCAAAGACACGCACGTTTGCACACTTGTACAACTTGGAACGCTTAATGAAAGCCAGAGCATCATCAATTGCCATGTTGTTTGCAACTTTGCCGAGATGGCTGAAATTCTTCATGCTGTGCGACATGGCATGAATGTGGGGCACCACCCACCTCCAAGGGTGGTTGAATCCATTTATATTAATAAATTTGCCTAATCGGTCCTCCAGATTTCAGTTCCCATCATGTACTCTGGTTAAGCACCAACAATGAGAGTGTTTGTTCAGGATGAGCCTGGCAATTAATTTTATTTTAAAATTGGGGCTTTGGAATAAAATGGGCTTTCTCTCCCAAGGGTTTTTCCTTTCCTGTGGCACCAAGCCATGTGGCTTTGAAAGCCTACAGTGTTCAGGATGTGACTTTTTGCATGCTTTTCATCAACCCTGGTGGTGGGCGTAAGACCCTCGTAGTTGGCATTTGTGGTCTTGATGTGGGGAAGCTTGACCAAGCCTGGGAGGCAGTTCCTAGAAATCTTCAGGCTTATGTGAAAATTAGAAATAAAGCACCAAGATGCCCCTAGGAGATTCAGCACCCTAGCTGGTGGTGCACTATTTGTTTTGACCAAGTTCTTAGGCAGAGGATGCAAATCTCTGCTTCCTTGGCAGCGTCTCTGCTTCAACGAATGAAACAGAAACCTCATTCTGAATGTCCATGAATGAGGACGTAATGTGCTTCCAACCTAGAGGAGTTCCCATTCATGCATTGTGTGAGTGGCTTCGTAAAAGTGAATAGCCAGTTTACGGGTAGCAATCCGAATTGGGCTGATGGCATTAGAGGACAGACGTCCCCTGGAGCAAAGGAACCGTTGTTCCTAAAGTCAGCAGGAGATGCAGGAAGCGTAATCCAGATCAGAACTATAGGATGCAGAACAGGGAATGCCTCCTCAGCTTGCCTCCAACAGGCTCCCTGTCCGAATCCCCCTCCCCACATGCACTGTTAACCAACTGCATGAATGGCTCCTTGTCTAGCAAATGGCTCCCCAAAACAGTGTCTGCTTTGGAGTTGGCGGGCTAAGGGCAGAGACCTTGTTTCATTCTGGCAACCTGTTTACATTGCCAGGTTGGCGGTGATCGACATCCAGGTCAGGCTAACAAAGCAGAGCTTTTAGCATCCTTGAGAGCGCATAATGAAAATGACCCTGCTAATTGCACAATAGCCCCGTAAATAATGTAAGCAAAGATCCTCCTGCCACCAAGGGAGGGTTGCTTGTACCGCTTGTGTGCAGAGATCTTGATGCTGCTTAAGCGCCGAGAGAGGAGTCATTAGATGGCAGGAAAATATGCTTCATGTGCAGCCATCCTTCAAGACCTCTGACTCTGGGGCTGTTCTGTGGCTCCCTTGTGCCGGTCCTTGGCTTAGTGCCACTGGGGCTACGTCTGGGTGAGGTTCTGAGACTGGCCTCTGCCCTGCTCTTGGTTGATCCTCTTTTTTGCATCTCTCCCTCAGGGCTCTGGATTCAAGTGGCGCTCTCTCAGCCAGTCGCCTGAGCAGCACAGGTAAGTGCTGTTGTCCCTTTCTGCTGGGGGAGTTTCAGTGGCAAATGTTGTCCTGTTCTACTGAACAGAGGCTTGCTTTTCCCTGGGTCAGTTACAGATAAACCCTTGTCTTGCCTTCCGCGTAGCCTAACAGAAAGCTGTCTGCTTCTTGCTTGGGCTCACCTAGGACATAAGGCTGTCTACAGCCCCCTCCAAGCAGTTCTTGTCTTCCCCTGTGGCTGGGAGTCAGTAGGATGGTCCCCTAGTGGGTGGTGGGGAGCAGAGACCATGTACGTGGAGGTGATCTGCAAGCACCGTCAAGGTATTTTGCCTTCTGGGGTGGAGTCTTCAGACCAGGGCCCTTTGGCTGTGTTGACTCCAGCCCTTCACCAGCGAAAGCTCCAGAACAATGGTTAGCCTCCCATGGAACAGGCGGGATAGATCCACTCTTCAGTTTCTCTCTTTAATAGGCAGATTCTTCAATTGATGATGATTTGCACCTCCTCCTTTATTATCTCTCTGGTGCAACTTTCCCCAGCCTGGTATCTACCAGAAGTGGGTCGTACAGTGCTTTGGATTCAAAGGCAAACAGGTGCTTCAGAACATACCTGAAGGGTGTGAAGGGAACACCTTTCTGCAGCTCCTTAAATCAAAATCCTCTTCTCCTGGGATTGCACAGGAGTATGCAGGTTGGAGAACCAATTCCCACCATTACCTCTCTGTGATTGAGTAGCTTATGGGAGTTGTTGCCTTAGCACAGTGTTTCTCAACCTTGGCAACTTGAAGATGTGTGGACTTCAACTTTCAGAATTCCCCAGCCAGTCTTGCTGGCTGGGGAATTCTGGGAATTGAAGTCCACATATCTTCAAGCTGCCAAGGTTGAGAAACACTGCCTTACCGTATCTGAAGGGTATCAGGTTGCCTATCCCTGATAGGAGTTTGATCTTCCCTTTACCAGACCCTGTGCGAGAAGGCTGGGATATGACATAGAGTTTTGTTTCACAATAAGAGGCTTTAGGCAAAATATCCATAAATTACATTTGACACTGAGTCACCTTCAAGCTTTAGGAATGTGCCATTAAAGCTACTTTGGTGAACGCTACAAGAGCAAGTTGCCACTTCAGCTTTTTAGGAAGAAGCTTTGATATGCAGAAACAAAGATAGGGAGCCCAGAAAGCTTTCCTTGGAGGAAGGAACCCTGTTTTTGCCTCATCCACCCACCCCAAATTGCGGTTCCCCAAATGATTTGAGGTTAAGTTCTCATGAAGCTTTCTTAGGGAACAGAAATGCTGGGTTTTAACATGCACATGAAAGGTATAAAGGAAATACCTTTCCACAGGCTTGTGATTTCATTGCTAAATGAGGGAGAAAAGAATTTCCAGTTGTGAAACGTGGTCATTAAATATAGGATGACTGAGTCCCATTGTCTTCATATTTTATTAAATCCCCTTGTCAAGTTTTCGCCTACTTAGCACCCTCCAGATTCTTCTCACCTGCTACTGCAGCAGCATGCTGGGTGCTGGGGTTTGTGGTCAGGACATCTTGAGGGCGCAAGGCTGGAGGAAAACAGGCTCCCCTGTTAAAGCTCCTGTCTTGTGTGACAGAACAAGGAGAACGCAATCCAGGAGTAATCCAGGCTGTTAGGACAGCGTTCTCCCTAAGAGCCTCTCCTAAAAAATATGCTTCTGAATTATATTGGGGACATTTCTTAAATTCCAATTCACAGCTTGTAGAAATTAAATAGACTTTTGGGAGTCACTTATAAAAACACCCTAATTCATTTCAGCCATACTTCTTTTCCAGAAATAATAAGCAGAACCCAGGCACCATAGGATGGTCAGTTGGGTGTGTACCTGCACCCATACATTATTTGTGGCCAGATGTTCTACTCGGTTTTAGGAAGAGATGCAATCTTTTTTTCATGAAATGATAGGAGGAATCCAAAAGTTGCGTTAAACGGAGAAGCATTTTTTTTCATGAAATGAGAAGAAATGTTGTCCACTTACTGTCCTTACACTAAATGGATTCATATCATAAAATGGACAATATTTATGCAATGGCCAGTTCCACTTAAAGGACAGAGCATATACTAAACTTGCAACATCTGGTTGTAATATAAGGGCTTTGGTAAAAAGTGAACACTAATAACCTTAATAATATTTGGATAGGAAGGCAATGCAAATATTTCTCAAGAGGATCCTCAGATTATTCAGTAGTTGTTAGTTCATTTTACGTATGAAGTTACTCAATATTTTTTTTAAAAATTCGACAGGGATTTTTTTTAGAAGTATTTTGATTGAGAAATATTGAGGCCCAGTTGTTAGAGGAGTGTCCATCCATGCAGTCTATCTCAAAGGATGATCCCCATAGAAGGTTAGTAATGTCTACCATTCTTCAGTGTTTATCTTATGCGTCTCCTTCTTGCAGTAAATGAGTCTGCAAGGAGATTCATATAAAAAAAGAACACTCTTGAATGATGCAGCGGTTGATTGCTCTTGAATCCAAGTTTGCTTCACCGACCTCGTCTCTAATTGCATTTCTGTTTGATTTGGCTGTATTTTTGCATTTGGATCCCCTTTTTGTTATTTTGTTAGCTCTGGTCTGGATTTGTAAAGACTGGATGATACATGAAAGGCTGCTCCCCTCCTGTTTGTTTAATTGGCTTTAAAGTGGTGGTGGAAGAAGCCGTAAGGGAAAAACGGGCTGTGAGCTGCAGAGATGATTCTTGGGTAGGGCAAGCATTTGATCCAGCTGCCTGGCTAAGAGGCAGAATGTTGCTTTTCGCTTCCCACCAACCCTGCATTTGAACACACGCGAGACAGGAGTTGTTGACCTACGACCAAGGGAAGTTCCTGTAACTTAATCACATATGGTGGGCCAGTGCTTCAACTGTGGGAAGGTGGTGAGAAATCAGAAAGTGAAGTGAGATCCTTACACAACTTTGTGAATATGGCTTGAATCTGCCTCATGCAAGCTCCTGAGGAATTTCAGCTGAACGTCTTTCCTCTTGCATTGTTTCAGGAAGGTGATCACGCTGGAGAAAGAAGAGAGCCAGACATATGGTTTTGAGATTCAGGTAAGTATACAGAAAGAAAGCCTTCTACGCCCACTAAACCTGCCTCACAAAAGGGTAACAGGACGTTTTGCAGGCTGTACTCAGCAGAAATTGAGGACAAGGTTTTAAATCACATACCTTAGGGTATTTGCAAATGGGAAAAAATGAAAAATAAGTTTCAGACATTAAAAAAATTAAAAATTGAGCATTTGGATTTTCAAAGTGTTGAATATCGAACTTGAAACCTGAGGAAAATATGACAACCTCTTGAATCTGGCCTGTCTCACTTTTCAGTCGAGTTTGATCTTCAGCATTTTAGCATAAGCCTTGAGAAATGGTCCAAATTGGGCAAAATTCATTTCATCTCACAGCTTGCTATGGCTGTCTGGCTCTTCATGCTGTTCTACCTCATTTAGTGATGGAGCTTGCATGCTAAAAGGTTATAGTGTCAACCCCTAATCCACCCTCCTTGTGCTATAATAAATAATATTTTTCCCCCTCTGGGCAATTTTCAGACTTATGGGCTACACCATCAGGATACAAAACGTGTGGAGATGTTCACTTTTGTTTGCCGGGTTCATGAAAACAGCCCAGCCCAAGCAGCAGGCCTTAAACCTGGTAAGACACTTCATGTACTGCTTTGTACTGCTTCACTGGAGCTCCACAGCTGACTGGTAAAATCAGCAGATACCATTCAGATTTCAGGTCTTCCTGGTCTTTAGTGGCCAGTGAGGGTATCTTGCTACCTTCTTGAGCTGTGAATCTTAATGCATACTTGGGTTGCTCCTCTGTTTTATCCTCTCCCAACATTTTACATTTGCAGAGAAGGCTGAGTAGGTCTCCCTTGTGGGAAGGCACTGGAGTGCTCCATGACATCACTGGCTCCTCTCATCACTTCACAGGACAGGGTCTGCAAAGCCACAGTCTGAACACAACAGTGTCATTTGGTGCAGGACACCCTCCAACTCAGCCTGCCTAGATTTACCAAGCCTCAGGATGTGAGCCTCTCTGTGAGGCTCAAAGGAGAGGTGCTGAGATCCCAGGGTGAAGGCTAGAAATTGGAAGGTATACAGGTAGACTTTGGTTAAAGAATGTCCTGTTTAGCAACCATTCAAAGTTACCATGGGGCTGAAAAAGTAACTTTATGACCAGTCCTCACATTTACAACCGCCGCAGTGTCCCCACGGTCACATGATTCACATTCAAGCTCTTCAGACCAGTGGGCATTTACGATGATCACAGCATCCCATGGTCATGCGATCGCCATTTGCGCGCTTCACAGCCGGCTTCCAACAACCAGAGTCAGTGGAAAAGCCGACAGTGAAATCACAAATCCCGGTTACATGATGTCTTGCTTAACAACTTGCCGTGATTCATTTAACAATTGCAGCAGAAGTGAGGTCATAAGACTGTCGCAGTCACATGATGTTTTGCTTAGCGATGAAGTTGCCAGTCCCAATTGTGGTCTCTATGCAAAGACTACCTGTATTTCCTCACCATTCATTCTTTATTTAGAACCAAAGGAGACCAGAGTTGATGGGGTCATGTAGAACCCTTGCAGAGTTTACAGTTCTCCCAGGACTATCCAGTCCAGATTTGGCCACAAATCAACAACACGGGGAGTAACAATTGCCTCCCGGTTTCCATGGGAAATAAAAGAAAAAAGGGATGTTCAAACCAGACCAGCTTACTATGTCTAAAACGGGGAAATCAAGAAACCCTCTCCAAACAAAGCCAGGAAAACCTGGCCCTCCTCTTTCCTAACATCACCAATTTGCCCAGCTGCGATTCCCAAATTTAGAATATTACCAGTTCAGAAGGCATTCCTGCTCACTGAATGTTTAGACATTTTTCTGAACAATCAAAATAAAATGAGTTGTGGGCCTGCTTTCTGCAGGCCAACAGGGCTCATGGAAGAAATACTGTACAATGGCCAAAGAGTGGTGTCTTTTTGGAAGAGGCCAGGAATGCAGGCTCCTTCTCCCTGTTCCTTCCTCACACGTGTTTCATTGGCTCCTTGGAGGAGGCCTCAGCCAGCTCTGGCTTCGCGTCACAGGTGGCCACAAAGAAGGCTGAGGCATAATTTTTGCCAGGGCGCATCCTTCTTCCCTCTTCTCAGCTGCTCTGCTCCAAGGAGAGCCAAGCATTGCAAAATTGTTTAAAGCAGTGTTTTTCCAACTTGTCAACTTTGAGATGTGTGGACTTCAACTCCCAGAATTCCCCAGCCAGCTTGGGAGCTGAAGTCCGCACATCTTAAAGTTGACAGGTTGGAAAAACACTGCTTTAAAGGGTCCCGCTGAGAGCAGGCCCAAATGGAGGGGGGAAGCAGGCAGGCATCCAGATGAATTAGCGGGTTTGGCTGTGTAGCATGGTGCCTTCCTTTCTTCCCATAAAGGTCTGCTTTTCCTGCTTTTTGCACAGGGGGTGTTTTTAAAAGTACACCTCTCCTAGTGTGCATCCTTCCCCAAATGCAGAAAATCTACTGGCTACCGAACAGTATGTCTCTTTTTGTCTCTTGTAAGCTACCCTCTAGCCCTCAAAATCACTAACTATGCTTGAAAGTAGGTGGACAATGCCAGACAAAATTTGAGAGAATGCCCTGTTAACATTGTTTGTAATGGATTACCTTCATTTGTACAAACATTCTTCTGAATGGGAATGTTGCATTGGAAGGTTTAAAATGTTTCTGTTTCTCCTTAAAATCACATGCCTATATGTATACATACTCCTTAAGATTTTGTGTACATACATACACATGTACATACACTTATATACATATACATCATATACATATGCAAGAGCCAGTTTGGTCTAGTGATTAAGGCACCAGGCTAGAAAGCAGGAGAGTCTGAATTCGAGTCCCACCTTAGGCATGAGAGCTGGCTGGGTGACTTTGGGCCAGCCCCTCTCTCTCAGCCCCCAACATCAGGCTCGGGCGACAAGCCGGTTGGTCAATTCCTGTCACAACAAACAAATCAACATTCAGTTGATCCAAACAAAGCGGACTCTGCTCATGTGGGAAAAATGCTAGGAAGAAATACACATACACACACACACACACACACACACACACACGCATATATATATACACACACATGCACAACACACATATATACAAATGCATGTATGCATACATGCATGCAGACACAGACGCACTTAGATTCCCAAGTTTCTGTTCTTCCCCCCCAACCCCGATGTCTTTTTCTTTTAAATTTTGTCTTTATTCAATAAAACAGCAAAAGAGAGAGGAAGAAATCTTTAAAATCATGGCTATTTCTTGAATAAGTATCTCCCCACTCCTATCATATGGTCCTGGCCTTGCCTAAACTCTTGATACATAATTAGAGTGCTTAGAATAAACCAAATCAAAGTGCAATTATGCTGTTTGCATAATTTATACAGCTCACAGAATGCCATTTTAATTGCTATGTTGGTCTATGGAAAAAAAAACCTGAATCCATAGTTGTGCAGTAATTTTATGAAGGCAAAACAAATGCTGTAAAAGGGTGTGCAAGCTTTTATGATCTCCAGAACTTTTCTTTAGCAAGATGTTACAAAAACATCTTGGGGTGTTGGGATGGGAAAGAAGCAAGGAAGACCCCAAATTCCTTCAATTCCTTCAGCCATGAAGTGGGGAGATTACAGTCAACCCCTGAAATGGGCATTGTGGATTGAAAGCCTTCTTTGGGTTAGAAGTTGTTGGGATCAGGTATTCAAGGACAAAAAAAATAAAATAAATGGTGGCTCCCTCCATCACCATCTCTACCACCATCCCTCCAGACCTGAGAGAGCCAAAATAAATAATGTTTATTGCAGAATTGAGAGATGATATCTTAGGTTCAGGCTTTAAGTGTGCAATCCAGGACAGATCCTTTGTCTCCTGATTCCTTATTGTCCCCGCTCGGCTTTGTAGGAGACACAATCACAGGAGTGAATGGGCTTAATGTGGAAGGCATCCGCCACCGTGAGATTGTGGAGATCATCAAGGCATCTGGAAACGTCCTCAGGTAAAAGCCAGATTGGTGCTTTTGGCCAGGACTAGCCCTGGCCCTTCTCCACGTGTCACGGCTGTGGTTTTCCAGCCACAGAGGTGCCACTCATCCCACTTTGTCCCCTGTCCAGGTTAGATACGTTGTACGGTGCATCAATCCGGAGGGCCGAGCTGGAGGCTCGCTTGCAGTACCTCAAGGTGAGTGGCATTCAAGGAGGGACATGCAATGAAACGTTTACAGGTTTGGTTCAGGTTGCTACCAAGAACAAGCAACAGTTTTGAATTAGGGCCTGTACATGGATATGAAATGATACCCCAAAGCTCAAACTGGGTAACCGCCCTATAACGATCTAGATAGATAGAATTGCAAATTTTTTGGCTTTGGTCAGGACGATGTATGGTCCTAAAATCGCAGGGAGCTGTCCTATGCCAAGTGCAATTGTTAGTCTATCTAGCTCAGTATTAGCTCTAGAAAATAGCAGTTTTGACTGCACAGGAATTATTAGGGGGAGGGGGGTAAGGTTAAAACTTCTTCCCCTATTCTCCCCACACTCCCCCCCCCCATGAAGGAGGCAAGGGCAGACCACTTCCAAAAAACCTTGCCCAAAAAACTGCAGGGACTTGTCCAGGCAGTTGCCCAGAGTCAACATTGACTTGAAGGTACATATACGTGTGTGTGTGTGTGTGTGTGTGTGAAGTCAAGGCCAAAGTGGTCCCAGTGGTGGTAGGAGCACTTGGGACTGTGACTCCTAAGCTGGGAG